TTTTTTTTAAAAATCTGATAATATTGACCAGGAAACTTTTTGAATATTATAACCTACGGAATTCCAAAACTACAATAATCATAATTGACAAGCAATATTATATCAGAATATAGTATATACCTAAGAAGCCTCACAAAATTTTAGAACCCAATATTAATGTCTATTTACATATTAAGGTTATATATGTCCCTCAAGTGAAAATACTTCCCATTAAGTTCGAATTCATCAGATAAATGCCCAGCAGGCAAGTGTGTTTAATGTCTTACCCATAAAGAAAAGGAGAAATTTTGTGGGGTGGCTTAGCAGCTCCATGGATGTTCCATAAAATTTCCTCTGATCAATGAAATAAAAGACAACCATTATTTCCTGAATTAGATTTCTGGGGAACTTTGCCCTAAATACTAAGGGGGATGGCTTTAATTACCCAGTAGTGACAATTTGAAATGCCAAGCTCTGGATAGACTCAGCAGCACAGTGGTGACAAAATGACCTTTCCCATGTCCTATATTATCTCATTCCAAAAGTAACCATTTTCCTTCCACCAAACTTTCACTGATGTAAAACCCTACTTGTGAAATTTATAAATCCAGGTAAAATAAAAAGTATTTTCCAAATCCTATAACTCTACAGGCACACAGTTTCCAGACTAAATTATTAATTTCAAATTATGCCTTTTAATGAACAACTATCAATGGAAAGCAGAAACATACAAACGTACACAGCTGATATCTCTTAGTATTCATTAAGCCAGATGTAAACTCTTGTGAAAACTGAAATTTAGTATATTGTGCAGTAGTTGGAGGGCTTGTTCTCTGGCTGCATTGACCTGCAAAAGAAAAAGGGACAAAAGGGAAAAAAAAGGAAAAAAAGGGCCTCTCCGGTGGCGCAGTGTTTGAGTGCTGGGTAACGAAGCTCCCCGCAGCCTCTGTGGCGACAGTTTGATCCCTGGTTGCTCCCTGGCCACCGAAAGAGGGTCCCGCATGGCACACAGACCTCTCCCGCCGCCCGCTGCTCCCCTCAGCAGTGTACTCCGGTCCTTCTGCTTGCTCTGCTCCTCGCTCTGGCTCTGGTGAATTCTCTCACTCTCCGGCGCTTCTGACTGTACCCAGTGCATGTATAAACAAACAAACAAATAAATAAACAAACAAATAAAATATGTGCCTCTTTAAAAAAAATAAAAATTAAAAAAAAAGAAAAGAAAAAAATAGAGGGCCTCCCCGGTGGCACAGCGGTTGAGCGCTGGGTTGTGAAGCTGCCCACAGCCTCTGCAGTGCCAGCTCGATTCGGCTGCTCCCCGGCCACCGGAGGAGGGTCCCACATGGCGCGCAGACCTCTCCTGCAGCCCACTGCTCCCCTCAGCAGTGTTCTTCAGTCCTTCTGCCTGTTCTGTTCCCCACTCTGGCTCTGGTGAATTATCTCACCCTACTGTGCTTCTGACTGTACCCAGTGCTTGTATGTATGTATGTATAAATCAGTCAATAAATCAATAAATCAATCAATAAATCTTCTAAAAAAAGAAACTGCTAGAAATCTATCAAAGAAAGATAGCATGATGTCTTATAACATGGAATTTAAGCAATAGACCTCTAAGTAAACCTGGGGTAAAAGAGAAAGTCTCAAAGGAAATTAAACAAAATGAAACTTGACATCTTTGTTCATAAAAGCCCAAACTAGAAAATACCCAATTGATCTTCAAAGATAAATGATTAAAGAACTGTGATACATCCATATCATAGAATTCAGCTCAGTCATAAAAACAAGAAGCTATTGCCACAAATTATTTGAATTTCAAGGGAATTGTGCTAAGTTGAAAAATCTAATCTCTGCATTTTACAAACTATATTATTTAATGGATATAATACTCTTGAAATAACAAAATTATAGAAATGGAAAACAGATCAGTAGTTTCTACTGAGTGGCCAAACGAGGGGCTGAAGCATCCTGTCTTATCTGTGTCTGTGCTCCATGGTGGTTCACGACACTTGTTCTGTTGTGCTCCAGTGCCTGAGTCAGCACAGCAGGGAAGATAAGGAAAAGAAGAAAACATTTCCTTAAGTGGGAAAGTTATTTTATTGGGAAGACTTTTATCCTTCCTCTGAAAGAGAGTCTATCTTTGTGTGATTGGCCTAAATTATTTTTACTTTCCTTCAGTTTCCATAGCAACATATTTCTTACATCCCCTCATATTGTCAAAAGCAATTCTCCTAAAGTTGTATTTGCTAAGTAACCTGCAAATATGTTCTATCATTGTTTTTCTGGTCATATCTTCTAGAGAAACTACTACCATTTTGCAAAAAACAACAGAGGCTGATCAACAGCTCAGTGTGCTGGTTAACCATGAATAAATACACGGAATTCAGCCTATATCCTCTTTATTGTTCACCCAAGAATGTGCTAATTAAGTTAAAAATCACTGCAGCTATCTCCTCTGGGAAGACTTGTGTTATTTATGGGTCTACGAGATGCACAGAGAATGGTAACTATTCTCAGGGTCTTACAATCTATTGCCGGGAGGTAAGGTCTGCAGGAGGGAAGAAGACAGGACTTTAAGACGTGTAGAGGAGAAGCACATGAGTCCAACGTGGTCAGGTGATGCTTGAAGGGTCTGTGTGTGTGTTTATGTGTATGTGTGTGCATGTATGTGTGGTGTGAGTGTACTCTGTGTAATATGTAGTGTGTAGGTATTGGGGTTTTATGTGGTGTGTTTGCATGTACATGGTGTACATATATGTGTGGCCTGTATGGTGTGGTGCATGTGTGGGGTGTTTTTATATGTGTCACACCTAAGAAAGAAAACAGTACAAGTCATAAGGCAGGAGGCTGGGGACAGTGACTCTTGTTGAGTCACTATATGATTGTGAGCCTCCTGCCTGAATCCCTCCCACCTCCCATAGGTGACAGCTCCTCTTCTGACCATGACTCCAGCAGAAGTGGCAAATGAGTTTGGCTCTTCCTGGGTGCCATACACACCCCAGCCCCACCTTCTGTGTGCATTCTCCCTTTTATTGTTTTTTAAGATTTATTTATTTATGCATTCAAGAACTGGGGTACAGACCAGAGTGGGGGGGGTGAAAGGATTCACCAGAGGGAGTGGGGAACACAACAGGCAGATCTATTGAAATACACTGCTCAGCAGGCGAGACAGGAGAGGTCTGCTGCACCATGTGGGTTTTTCCCTGGTGGGCTGGGGATGAACTTGTGCTGTAGTGACTGGTGATAGCTTGATAGCACTGTCTTAACCCCCGCGCCACCAGGCAGGCAGGCCTGCATTCCCCTTTTAACCTTGAGCAAAGTGTTTCACCTCTCAGTTCCTTCACCTGATGAACAGAGGTAAGATAATAATAGTCCCACACCAGATGAGAGGCAATGAGTAACAGAATGTGCAGATCAAAATGAGCACATGGCAAATGTTAACGACTGTGGTGGTGAGGTGAGGATGGTTAATAATCTGACTTTTCTATTAGGAATTAAGATGGAACATTTGTATAATGTACCCAGGAAACAGGGAATGGTACTGGGACGCCTGGGCTCTACACCTCCCCAAACGCAAGCATGTTTCTATGTCTTAAATCTGTCTGTAATCTCAAGGGCCAACACTTGATGAGACTGTGCTGACCTCTCCCAGGTATGACCAGTAATAACAACTGTAAACTGCAGTTCATGTTTGTCCAGTCGGCTTCAGCTCATGAGAACTTCTACCTGCAGTGTGATCAGTGCATCCAGTGGGAGCTGATGGGATGGCCAGGGTCATACAGTAAATGCCATGGATCCTGCTGTCACCTCCAGGCCCCAGTGAGTAAAGCTGGACACATCTGCATACACTAAATGGCAAGATGTGCCCAGATAAGTACAGGCAGTGGCTGGAGGGCCTTACTCCACCCTGGACGGGCCCCAGGGGGTAGGGTCTCTTTTCCAGGTCAGCACAGTATCTGCCCCCCGCAGGAGCAAGGGTGAAATTGCACCTCTCTCTGTTCACTTTCCTGGGCTGTAGAATTGAAAAAGATACCTCGTTTTATTCCAGTTGTCTTTTGAAAAGCCATGAAAAACATTGTTGAGAAAATAAATAGCCAAAAAAATAAATCAGTAAAACAAAACAAAATTAAATGTAAACTATAATAGACCAATCCTAATTTTAAATAAAGTGTGGAAACCTGCTAAGTCAGGGACCCGATTTATTCTCTGTCATGCAGTGATGTCCTTGCCAAGCTGGCAGTTTGCCTGGCAACAGTGGGCATAGCGTGTAGAGCCCATGGGCTCTAGGAAAGGGAAGAGAAACAGGCCCCCTACACTTCTTCTCGAGATTCAGAGTGACTGCTGTTCTGGGTAGGCCCCGACGGCCTGGGATTGCTACCTTGTGCAAGTTCCATGCACTGAGGGGATCGAGGGCCCTGAAATTAAAAAAAAAAAAAAAAGAATCCTGGTGAGGTTAGAAAGATAGGAAACACGGTAGCCGAAGAACTGGCCCAAGGGCAGAGGGTCAAAAGTACATCTAGGTCTGAGTCTGAGCCTGGGGTCTGAGTCTGGGCCTGGGCCTGCTTTGACAAGGCAGGCTTCTACAGGCCCCGGGGTGGCCAGGGCACTGGTATGGCTGTAAGTCGTGCCAAAGACATCCTCAGACAGCCTAAGCTGGAGTCCCCAGGCAGCCTGCACCTGGTGTAGGAGGATGCCAGCAAGAGGGCCTCCAGATTGGGGAGCATCATGACAGCAGTAGCAGCGGCAGTGGCCTCTGAGGGCCCCAGAGGGTCTCTGAGCTCTGTCTGTGTCTTGGCAGGACAGTGAGTGGTGAGTAATTTTTCCAGGTCTTCAGAACACCTGCTGTTGGGCATTGAGATTCTCTGACCCAGGCGGACAGGATGGTGCCTGGCCCTGGAGTCTTTGGAAACACCTAAGAGCAGGGGAAGTCCTGGACATAACCAGTGGGAGGGTTTGGGTGCCATAGGGGTGAAAAGGACAGTTATGGGAGGCTCATGTGCTTCACTTTGAGATGCTAAAGGGGAGCATCAGTTATATTCCAGAACTGAAAGATGCACAGCCCAGCTGTATATGCATTTCATTACCTATATACTCATCATGAAACAGACACTTGTTACTGTATACACCGGCATCAACTTTGCCAGCATATTTATTTGGGTTTTAAAGATCAGTTAGGACATGGTTGAGTTTCAAAGGATCATACTGTATATTAGGATTAAAAGTACATGTCAGTGAATTGCATTTATTTAATAAGTGTAGCATGCACACATTGTGTGCAACATTCATTCGTTTGTTTGCAGAACAGCTGTCCATCTCCCCATCACTGCTAGGACACACTTAGAATCACTTTTCTTTTCTTAAAAATACTGAAGCAAGGTCCAGTATGAAGCCAGACAAGGCCAGCCCTGCATCCTCTGTATTCTCTCAGCATCATGCTCAACAGTGGGGTTTGGTTGGCAGTTGCTTAATCTTCCAGGCCAAAACGAACCATCAGACAATAGCATATACAATACCCGATGGCATTGTCGCAAAGAGTGCCAGAGATCTAAAACTTCATGGACGTGTATCATCTGCTCACCACTTCAGCGTGTGCCCACCGGGGTGGGTGGGTCCTCGAGGGCAGCCTAGTCTCACTTGGTCCCTACAGGTCCCTAGGTCTAAAATTGGCCTGGCACGGCCTTGGCAAACTATGCCTGTTTAGAGAAAGATGATAATAGTTGGAGAGGGTCCTGTAAGTAATCACTGGGAGAGGGGAAGCCTCTAGACTAGGAACCTCGAAGATGCAGTCTGCAGAGGCCTGCTTTGTCCCCAGCAGGTGTTGGGTTGCTTATTCGTCCAAAGAGCCAGCTGTTTTCTTGCTGGACGTCAAGGTTATTATCAGGGGAACTTATGTTCATCCAGGACACTCACATCACCCTTGGGCCTCAGCAGAGCGTCCCATGAACTCTCCTAACTTCCAGTCTTTCCCTCTTTGGGATCACTGTCCTTCCTGACCTCTGTCCAGCACATCAGGAGTCACTGCAGTCTCCTGCAAGCTCCCA